ACGAGTCGGGTGGCGTGAAAGGGTCTCATATTTGTTGTTAACGAAACGACACTAACCAATTGTGGTGTTAGATGAAAAACTGTTGATAATCAAGTACTGTAGCCAGGAGCCTTTCTCTTTTAAATATATCGCCATTGATAATTAAATTATTAAAGTAAATGAGTTAGAATGGATATTTTGAAATATTCCATCCCTTCTCGTTTCTGGGTGATCAATCTTGTTTATCCAATCGTACTTCTATTCTTTAGTGAGTTTCTAGTAGTTCGATGACCAATCCAACTGGAAATGTTGAATGCTGCTGTTAGGAAAAGAAGACTGCATTGCGATTGGCGTCCTTAGTTTCAGTCCAGTGACGATTTTGCAGTACATATTTTTTTGCGAAATATTCTACGTAAATTTTTGCAAAATTCAAATGAACATAATAAGTAAGTGGTAAATTGAAAACTTTTAAAAATGAAAAAAATTATAAATTGAAAAAAAATTGAAAACTTGGAGAATATAGAATGGGAATCAAATATCCTTTATCCTTATCTTTCGAAATCGTTCAATATATTTTATAAAAACTTTTTGTGAAGTTTTCTCAATTTCGAGGAGAATTTCAATCAAATCTTAACGATTGAAGTGAAACGATGCCATTTTTTTTATTACTCATCGGCAATGTAATTTAAAATTTTCAGGAGAATGAGAGAAGAACGGACGGCAAATGACAATGATTATATTTAGTGATGTGGCTAGGAGTTTTCTTCTTCTTCAAGGTTAACGAAGATATTAATCGGAATGGTAACTACGGCAACAGTAGTTGACAAAAAAAGCGGGGCGAAGCGATGAACATCATGAGATAGAGTTACGTTGGTTGACAATTATTCGATAAGCAAATTCATAGACAAGAAGGGAGACAGCGTTCGGTAGTGGTGATTGCAATATTGCTTCTGAAAACGGTGCTCATCTTTATAAAAATTTTCATGGAGAAACGGAAAGTAAGGAAAAAGGAAGTGATAAAGCAATGAACGGTGAAAGTGTACATCACCCGAAGAACAAATAAAATGAAACGAGGGAAAATCATAGGCAAAATTGGGATTGATAAGATAGAAGAAAAAAGAACCGATGGATTTGTGGAGAATGAACGCGGTTAAAAATTCGGCTAAAGCATTGCAAGTTTAACGAATCAGGGATTAGCGCTCATTATTTCCGTCTCTCCCTCTTTCTCCACTGGCTGTTAACACTTTTACAATTTTATTATCAGGGAACCATTTGGCGACAAGATTTATTCCCAGTGCATGAATCTTTTAATGATAGAATTACCTCGGGAAGCAGAAGCTGAATCCTTGCATCTCAGCGCGATAATCGGATGAATGTTGGTTGGTTTGAATAGCATTGAATAGTATGAATTTATGCAATGGTCGCGAGAAATTTGTTGGTGAACATCGACAAGAAGCTTTTGAATTGAGAAAAGGCAACGGTTGAGAGATATAAATGTTAAAATTCACCGGAAATAATATTGGCATTTATAGGGGAATAAATTTTAAGCGAGTAATGTGAAAACTTTGATGTATCTCGCTTCATTTATTTATTCGAAAGAATTTATAACTTTTAGTTGAAGAAAATTTGTATTTTTGTGCTAAAGAAAATGTGTGAAGTATATTTGGAATGTATGAAATGAAATGAATTAGGGAGCGATATTGGAAAACATCAGCTGAAGAAGGTGTAAAGGTATAAATAAACAGATTAGAAGGAAGAAAGAGATTTCGTAGGAACGGGGAACGGAGTTTTGAGTTTTTATAAGCGAGATTGCTGATGTTGACTTATGAGTCAGTTTTACCCTCGGTTGGAGTAAACTTGTCATCAATAATTTAGGAAAATAATTCGTGGTCTCTGCCTATACATCTACGGCCATGTGACCTGCTGGCAAAAAAGTGACCATTACTAGAAATGGGCATTAATCATTTATATTCAAAATGATGTTCGTTGGTGACGCATCGATAATTATTTTCGATAAAATTTTTATAATTTCATTATACAATTATTTCAAAATAAAAATAGAAAGCGAGAAGTGGAATTTAACTTTAGCTGACTTAAACGAAAAAGATTAAGAAAAAAAGGTGTTCTCACTTCAAAAATTCGAAAATTTCTAATTTTTCATTTTTCACGATATCTTCATTTCATTAACTGTAATAATTATATGGTAATAAGCTGTCATTTATAATCTTTATTATCTATTGTAATAAGGATAGGTTTGCCGAGTGGATAGTGGTTTAGATTGCTGTCTTTGGAAGCAGCGGTTCGGCTCTTTCCACCCTGGTGGATGTACTTGTAAAAACTTGTCATTAATCGAGTTAGAGCCATCCATACTTCTATAGATCGTACTCCCCGCCAGAAATTTCTAACAGCCAAGAACAGCCATTCAATCTAACTAATAACAGTGGTCATTTAATATTAATTATTTATCGTCACAAATGCTGTCAGTTTTCTCCGGTGGATTTTCATCGTTATAACTGTTATTGTTAATGACAAAATGTTTATAGCGTAATCATTTCTGCTTTCAATAGGAATCGTGCGTCCGTCCGATATAATACACCTTTATTATGCTGCTTTCTGATCATTAGAAAGCGTTGTTTCATCTGATCATTAAAGTATTGAAAATCGTTACCATCCAGGGGATCATCATCCCTCTCTTATTATTTAAACGACGTATGCCCGGAAAATATCAAAAATTTCATGGCCATATTTTAATGGTTTTGGTAAAACAATATTGTTAATGACAAAATGTTTATAGCGTAATCATTTCACAATATTTGTTGTACGTAATGGAAATTTCTATAATCTGAGATTTATAATGATTTGAAGTTTTAAAGTTTTAAGCAAAGAAAGAGATTTTTCATGGAGGATTAGATTGAATTTGAAAAATATGGAACGCGGAGATAAGATGAAAGGAGTAATAAGAGGGATTATGTCTGCGAAAAATATGTGACACTACTCAACATCTTCATCAGCATTTTTGATCGTTGTGTTTATCATTGGCATTTGAAAAAGAGAAAAGCAGTTTGAGAAGATGAAACGAAGTCGCTTGATTATAATTTGGGATAAGAAGATCGTTGTCCTTCTCATCGTTAACTTAGTTTTAGACTTCAATCTTCTTAATTGCTTCAAATTTTGTTTATAAACCAATGTCTTTATTCTTTTCTTTCCTCTTAGGTTCTTCTGGTTCCACTGGCGAAAAGCGTGCTAAGTTTATTTCAAAGCCTTTGGCCCAGAAAACATCGGTGAATCACAATTTGGGGTTTCCCGGCCCTACTTGGATTTCTTTTCACTTTTAATAAGATTAATTTATTTCCTTCGATAGAAATCGAATAATATATTCGCAATAACAACGGTGGATTGTCATTCTGTCGTTACATCCTTCTCTTATGAAAGTTATTTTTGTTTTCTTTAAATTTTTTAAAATATACCAGTTTTTTGCATGTTTACCAGCTTCGTAGGCTTAAAAAAAGCATATTAGCATAAAACAGATAACTGAATGGCTTAGATTATTTTTTTGAAAGACAAGTAGGGCTCGGCCTAAGACGGGAATGACCTGTCATTCAAAAGTCTAAATGATGCTGATGATTCTTTATCCAGTTGAACTCCATCTGGCAAAAATTTCCGGAGCTAGAATAGTCTGAAACGGTGAGCACTTATCATTTAAATTTGCTAAATTTACCGCTATCACATTCATATATTTTTAGCCATTGTACCTTATTTATCTGTTATCTTTTTTATTACCATGGTCCGATTAGTAACAATTAGATTAATTTCTAGTGCAAGTAGTTATTTAAATTGGAACAAAAGTAAAATATGATTGGTCTGTAATTAATCGTATAAGCCAGTTTTAATTCTATTATTTTGTACATGGATATCATTATATTTTAATATTTATCAATATTCACTTCACTTATCACTTCATTATGATAATATTTTAATTAAATTCGACATTTTCTATTGTATTATCATAATAATACGAAAGAATGACGAACTATTTGATAGAACCTTGTGGAATATTTTTCGACAAAAATTTATTGTTGTTTTTTCAAAATTAAATTTATCACGTCGGATTTCATTTAAATTCTTTTTGAGAAAGAAGTTTTTATTTTTGCTGTTTTTGCTGTTTTGTTTTTTAGGTTTTGATATTACCATATTATTTACCTTTATATTTTAATGTTCAAAAATGGTGGTAGAATGGCTTTATTAGATTAATTTCATGTCCTACTCCTAGCAAGAGTAAACCTTTCTTGAAAGAATCCAGGCTATGCTGGCCGTCCACATTGCATTTCCAGTCAAATGACTCTTTGGCAAAATTTTTCTCGTACCCCTATCTATTTTAACCAGAAATGGTGAGCACTTTTAGAAAAAAAAGATGTGTCCAGCATATATCCGGTTCTGGTCATCTGGTCAAGGACTTGTTATTTTTCAAATTCATGCTCGTTCTCCTAAGAATTCCTAGAATTTTAAGAACGATTTTGATTTTATTGGCATTTAAGTCCATAAAGTCCGACTAAATTGATTTTTTCTGTGTGGAGAACTTTTCCCATCTAAAAGCTTAATTAATAGCATAATTGATTTCAGTCAATTAAAGTAGATAGTTTAGGTGATTTGTTAGGTGAAAGTTTATTAAAATAGGTGCACATAAGGATTAAGGTGCAGAGTAGTGAGCAGTGACTGTGATCATCATGTTGAGAAAGGTTAGAATTTGCTCTCCGGACGGAAGTAAACTTGTTATTAAAAAATGCGTGGATGCACTTTTAGATGTGCAACTCTGGCAAGAATTTCTATTCACTTCAAAGGATTCAGGAAGAAATTTTTTTGAAATTTTTTTTGCTTATTTTTCCGAATTTTCTTATCATTTATTCGAATTTTTATTTTTTACATTTCTCGTTCATTTTTCTTTTTTTTCGCGATTTTATCAATTTTTTCGTAATTTTCGATGAAATTAAATTCTTAAATTGTAAATAAAGATTAATTCATAGATGAGTTCGCCATCTGAACATCAAAATCATCAAAAATTACAACAAGAACATCAATTACAAAATGAACGACAACAAAGGCAACAGTTTCAACAACAGCAGCAGTATTTATTGAATTTTTTTGCTGCACAAGGTGCTGCATTACGGAATAATCTTTGCATGCCCAATATGTTTCCATTCAATTGGCCTATGACAGCCACTGCCACAGTAACGGCTTCGCCTTCGGCTGCTGCAACAGTCACCGATTTGCCGTCTTGGAATCCTTATATGCCTTATTTGCAAAATGGAACACAAGTGCATCAGGAATCTTTCGAAGATGTCCTTAAAAAAATGGTTCAACCAAAGCCGTCTGTGCAGTCATCAAATGGTTGGAGTTTTTATCATTTATTTTTTAATTTAATGGAACTGAATTTCGGTGCATCAATCGAAAAGGTGGACATTGTTTAGAATAATGATTTCTGATCAACCACTGATTTATTTTTCGTCCCAAGTTTACTTTATTCTTTAAAATCCAACTTCATGAAATTATGTCATTACGCGTGTGGGTTGTGAAGCATTTTAATTAAGGTAATTTATCGGAAATGGAGATGCACTGCCTTGGCCATAGGGACCGTTCTATTTTTGTCCCTTATTTGGTCTCTGGCCAGCAAAGCGATATATTTGAAATGGAAAGTTACAGAATACAAAACGATTAATATTATTACTTTTCCTTAATTGGCAGAAAAAAGTGTTGCAAAGATTAAAATTAAATCGATATGAGCTGAATTCAAATTGAATATGACAAAGAAATGTGAGTGACTGAAGATTTAGGAAGTTTAGGAAGGAATCTGACTGTTGTTCCGGTTATCTCGATGGGAACGACCCTCACATATTCAGACAGTGATTGAGAGATTCTCTATCATGACGACTTGTAATGGCGTGGAATTCACTTAAATATTCCATAAATATTATTAGACCCATGGTTTAAAGATCACTATTATTTAGAAAAATTTAGAACATCAAAAATAGGATTAAAAACTTTATCTCCGCAGAAGAACGAAAAACAACTGCAGATAAGGTTTTGATTAATCCAGCCTTTGTTAAAGAAGCTTATTTTTGTTAAAGCTTAAAGCTTAAACTATGCATTTCTTGATGGATTCGGATTCGTTTTTTGAATAAACCAACTGTTAAACTGGAACAATTTTAACCATGCTATATTTAATTGATGGAACGGTGGTCCATTATTAGCTATTTGGCAACATCTATAATAAATATATCATGTGAACTATTGTTCAACAGTGTGGGCGATATTTGTTATAGCCATGGTTAAAATTATCCTGAAATTCAATTTTCCTGAGGTCAACCGGAAAATTTTGTTTAAAATGTTGTTTTGGCATATTTCGTGTTCAGTTATCCGACATTCTTCCCATTCCTCAATCTGTGAAAAAAATTTTGGTTGCCTGCAATCCTAATCAAAAATATCCGCTAAGTTTTTATGATAAATTTGTTAAATTTGTTTTAAAAGTTTTGTTTTCATTTTATTAAATCTTTTCATTTTATCTAAAAAAAATTTCGTTAATAGATTATCTAGATAAATTATTTTTTCAAAGAAATTTATATCGAAGAGATTGTGAAAATGAATATTTTAGGAAGAGCTAGCACTATGTTGAATTCAGTGAAACATTTAATTGATGGCAAAGTGAAAACGAATGCGACAGGTGGTGTAGCATCTACAGAATCATCAACCGCAGGAATTTTTAAACCGTTGGACTTACCCGAAAAAGCCCTCGAACCTGGTGAAATTCCTAGAAAACGGTTCGGTTTTTTTTACTATTTAAGCATTTTATAAAGTACTTTTTCTAATTTCTTTCCAATCTTTCATAATTAAGTTTTTTTCAGTTTTCAAAACTTCTTTTTCAGTATTTCCAGATTTTTTAAAGAAATAAATCAGCAACAGCGTATTTTGTGTTTTCATGCCGTTAATAAGTTTTCTCTAACTTTCTCTAATTTTCTCTAACTTTTAGATTTAACTAGATGTTTTAGAGATAATTCAAAGACTCGAAATGGTCTACCTAAGGTATCAAATGTGTCGATGAGTCCTGAATTATTGGCATCATCTTTTATGTATTCAATGGCATTAAATCGTTATACAGCGGCTGCAATGCAAAGTGAAAATTTGCGAGCGATTGTACAGAATGCTTTTAATGCAGAAAAATCTAAAATGAAAGGATCATCAAAAAGGTCGACGCCTAGTTCGAATAGTAATAATTCGTGGTAATGTTACGATCATCGTTTTTTGTCAGTTTTTTATTCAAATATTTGGTTAAATGTGAACAAAGCACATAGCAGGGAAAAATTTTTTCGCGATTTTTCGATTTATTTTTGCAAAAAAATTATTTCCAGTGTATCTCGTAAGTCTGACCAACGTTCACATGAGAAAATCGAACCTTCATCATCGCAATTTCCGGAATCGCCACTTGATTTATCAAATCATAAAATGCCTTCAGTTGAACCTATAGAACGCTGCGGTCGATCAAATGAAAGTGCTAGTACAAGCGAACATGTTCTTGAATCCGATTCTTCTAAAAAACGAACTGTTGCGGATGCTGCACTTGTGCGACTACCATTATCACTAGGGTAATGCTTTCCTACAAAAATATCTAATTTTGATAGGATGATCTGTGATAAAAACTTCCTGTTGTTCGACTATTTTTTAAACCATTTTTTTCATCCACATTCCTTGGTTTTTATTTTCCTTAGCATTTGATCTTGTTGTGAGAAAAGTCAAAATTCAATTATTTATTATATGTAAATTGTTATTAAAATTTGATAATGACGTTTACTCAAAATTTCTTGTAGATGGCGTAGACAAACTTGTATTCGGTCTATTAGTGGGACTGGTATCCGTGGTGACGTAATATATTACGCTCCGACTGGCAAGAAATTAAATTCCTACAATGAAGTAATTCGGGTACGTTGCAATTTTTTCGAAATTTGCATTTCACCAAGAAATATGACAAAAATGCATGAATTTCATTTCTTCAAATGTATTTTGTGCTTTGAATTTTCTAATTTTTTTTGTTAAAATACGTTTTTTCAGTATTTGAACAAACAAAACATTACTGAGATTGGTCGAGAACACTTCAGCTTTAGCTGTAAAATCATCGTTGGTGAATTTCTTCTCGTAAAAACTGTGGGTAACGAAAAGGTTAGCTTTTTTCCACGACAACTTTTATTTGTTTTTTTCTTTTAAATCCTTTTTAATGCTTTTTTTAAAAAATTTCCAGGTAATTTCAACGATCAATGAACGAGAAATTCTTGCTGAAATCGAACGTCAAGCTAGTGGTACAGGAACGAAGAAAGCAACAAATATTAACGGCTCATCATATGCAGCTGATAACTTATCAAAGCCACATGGTAAGGCATTTGGAACTCTAGTATCTTAGTTTTTTTAACTGATTGTGCAACTGATTTTATCTCAGGGTGACATTTTATATATGTTGTATTTTATATATTATTTTCTACTGATGGAAGCCTAAATATTTTAATTTTCAGGTCATAAAAATGCAGAAAAAATTAACGCAAAGACTCCAAATCTTTTACCGAAACAAATAAACCAAAACAAACGAGATCCTCTTTTGGAAAAATTATTTGTTGGAGCGGTTCGTTTCACTTTTAGCAATTTAAAATTTAAAAATTGTATTCAATTTTTTATTTTAAAATATTATTCGAATATTAGAAGATTCCTTCTTCTTCTAACAACTCACCATTATTGTTAGGATTGCTCTAATGGCTACAAGGGTAAGACGTTTCCAAACTTCGTGATGTGACGTCACCGTCGACATTAATAGAAGCCATTCCTTTTTCCATCGTTTAAGTCCATATATTGCTAGTCCATTTCTATGTTCAAAATCTTTCCTGACTGTATCAGTCCAAGTCTTGATTGGCCCACCTCGCTTTTGACGCCACTCATCACACGGTTTAGCAAGTAACGAAATATCAATATTTTGATGGGCGGCGAAGCATTTGCCCTAACCAGCGAAAACGACGCTCTATGACGGTACTGTTAATGTAGATATTTCAACGGAAAGGAATGCGATCATGTGAGATTTCACCACTCTACGAACACGTGATATGAGTGGTCAAAGATAGATAACTTCTTAATATCCTCCACTCTCATTGGTCAATAGCAAGTTAAACGAAACACGGCTATGTAGACGCGGAGTTTTGAGGTGGTTTCACAACGGTTCCATAGAAGTTTCGTCAACGAAAACATTTCCGCTACCATTATCCTGGTTGTAATTTCGCCTTTTGCCTAGTCATTCGGCTTTTTTTTTTAAAAATCCTTACCATTACTGGTTAAACTTGTTTCAGTGGCTTGTCTTATTGGACAAATAGGGGAGTCCCTTGGCGATAAAAATACAGATGAGTCGCCAGCATCATCCGGATTTTTCGGCAGGTTTACAGGTTTACTTCTGCGGGAAATAGATCCTCAGCATCGGTGCTTCGAACTGAGCAACAACTCACTGAGCCATTCCCTATTAGAGTGGGTCCTAGGTATTTAAAATCAGGCACTTTCTCAATCAATTTATAAAAAAGAGGCATTTTATCAGCTTCTTGTAAAAAGGCTTTTACTTTATCGCCATTGACCCTTAGTTCGATTGTCGCTACAGTTGCTTATCATTGTTTGCATTTTGAAATAATTGTCAGCAAAAAGGATTACATCATCAGCGTATTCAAAATCTATGATACGATACCCTGGACTGATTTGGACGCCTCTTGAGTGCCAATAAGTGGTATCCGTTATTCACTCGCATATTGTAAGGGAAAGGACATAGCCTTGATGAACACCAGTTCTTACTTCAAAGATTTTATCAATTCCCCACATACACAGACCTACGCCAACGTACACTCATAAAATGCTTTTATGAGTTGAATGATTTTCTCTGGAACCATCGCACTCCATTACCCTCCAAAGCGCAACTCTTTCAGTTGAATTGAAGGAAGCTGCAAAGTAAATAAAGCACATAACGTGGATTGTAAATATTTAAAGCAATGTTCCAACACTCTTCTTAACGTGAATATCAGCCCAACCCCACTCAGGTTGGTTAGGACGTGTCCTGCTGTCCTGTTATTTCATAAATCTAGCGAATCTTAAGATAATTTGACTGTGGAATTAATTTTAATTTAATTTCATTCGTTTTCGTTCGATTTTATAATGTTAAATTCGAATGTTTCTATGATTGCCTTTTTCTTCTTTTTCCAGAAAAAGATTTATGTTGGTTACACATTGCATTTCACTTATTCAATTCTCCTTTTATCCAACAAATAATTATTTTGCTAAAAGAAGGATTTTTTATTTTAGAAAAGTCTTCATAAAACAGAAAAAGGAAAAGGAGAAAACACCACTTTAATCAGTGGTATTGAAAATTCAAAAAAAGCTACAAACGTAAGATTTACGAGATTTTATTTTCGTATAATTCATAATTTTGCGAAAAAAGTTAAGAAATTTAGGTACTCCTCAGATAAAATATATTTCACAGAATAATTGTTGTTAAATTAAAGATAACTTATCAGTGATATTTGTGAAAAATATTTAGTGTAACATTGCTACAAACTCAAGACAATCTCCTGCAAAAAATTCAGCGGATAATGCAAAAATAAAACCGAAACAAGATGAAGAAGAACGTTTAAAAACTGTGAGACAACCTATTGATGACTTACTTTTAGATGAAACAAAAGTAAATTTTTCCTTTTCTCTAATTTTTTCTTTTCCTTCTAATCTAAAATCCAGAACGACTTTTCCCTAGCAATCTCTTTCTTCATTCTGTTCTTTATTGTTCCTTTTCAACTTACAGAAACTTCCACCATTGGTTCGTATTCCAAATCTTACTTTAACTGGTCCAGCCTTCGGTGATATATTAATGGTTGTGGAATTTGTTCGAAATTTCGCTCATGTACTCCAAATCGGTTGATTTTTTTTCTCTATGTTTTGATATTTTGATATTCTCTGTATTGATATTTTTTTCTCTTAGAAATAATTTATACATATAATTTTACTATTACTTACTTTATTACTTATTATATTATTATTTACTTTCGTACCAATTATTTTTTGATGCCTAATTTGCTAAACAGGTTTTTTTGCAGATCTAGAAACAGTGCCGAAATTGGATGAAATTGTTGCTGGTATTCAGAACGATCCTAAACATATTATGTCATTTCTACGACTTACTAGAACTCTTTTATATTTGGTGCTTGAATTTCCTGGTTTACCAAGTGGTGTTGCTGGACGAACCGCGCTTGGGCAATCTTTAAAAGAAATCGGTGTTCATCGCGAAAATTTTTCAGAATTGATGAAAATGTTTTTGTTATCAAGATGCGAAAAAGCGCAAAAGGTTAAATACTTAATTTCCAGAATTTTTTGTGTTAAGTTTCTATGGCTTTTGGTTTCGGCTTTGTTGTCGTAAAACATTTGTTATAAATCCAAATCTTTTTTCATTTGAAAATGTCAATTAATTTCGAAAAAATTTTCAGCTCGGCATCAAATTAGAGAATTGTTCATTCGAATATCTTGATCCGGTATCAAAAGCGGCAATATTGGCTATATTTTGTAATGAGCTTCTTAGTTGCAAGAATGTCATGCAGGAAATTGAATCAAACACAGAAGAAATAATTCGTTTAAAGGGTGAAAAATGGTTACGAGAGGGTCGAAGTCGTGCTCTACGAGGTGTACAAGCTAAAAAACGAGCTGGCCTTCATCGAAAGGCAAGTCTGATCTTTTTTATGTTAACAATGGTTGGGAATTAGAGATTAAAATAATATTCATTAATATTTATTAATTATTATTATTAATATTTATTAATATTTATGAATAATATCTATTCAGGTTTTATTTTATTTTTTCAGCTTATACAGGAAATGAAAGATGCAAGTGAAAATGGAGTTGGTTCACCGCATTCTTCGCAATCTTATGGTTCAGAAGAACGCGTAATCAGCCCTCCCCTTCATTCAACACCTACTTTAAAAGCACTCACTCCAGGTCTTGGGCAGTGTGATATTATCACGAAGGAAGTATGTTTTATTTATTTTTTCAATCTTTTTCATTTTTTTGACATCTATATTTGGATCTATCGGCATCGATCTCGGTATCTGTTTAATTCTTTTCAAAAATCGAATTTTTCTAAATGTATCGACCGGATTAGGACATCTTTAAGAAATAAGCTATTTTCCAAGCCCATATGTTTAATGGGCTACCTTCATTTTCAAAATCTAGTCTGATCATATCAAAACTATTATTAGACTATTGTTTGCTCTCTTACTGTTAACATCACCCATCACTAATATCAATTCTTGTAATTCTTGAATTCTTGTGCTCTTGTAATTAGAGCACGTGGCCTAATGGTCCTCTAGTGGTCTCCGACGAGAGCCATATGGCCGTCTGGGGTGCTATGGAATAATAAGAGTCGCAAAAAAAGGATGGGCGGCCACAGGAACTACGAAGAGATGACTGAACTGCAAACGCTTTACGAAGTATAATTTAAAGATTTTTTCTATTTTGGAATTTCAAGTCCCATAAAACTTATAGAAAATTCCAGAAACATAACTGGAGAAAAAAGTTTCTTTTTTTATGTTGATAAATTTTATTAATTTTTTTTTTCATATTGATAAAATGCTTAGGTTCTGGGAAAATTGAGCTAAATTTGAATTTGCCTCTACTTTCCTTCAATTCTTGAACATTCCTTCTTTTTTCATTCAAGTGTATATTCAATAATCCCTTTTTTATATGCATATTTATATATAGGGTATATTTTTCATTTTGATGGCTAATTGTAGTTATTCATTGCTTCTGTGGTGAAAAAAATTACCATTACTCCATTCATTGAATATCTTATCTTATTTCACCAGAAGACAACAGAATATCGATGTATTTGCTGCGTAAGGCGACAATTTCTAAAGGAAGCATACGATCATCAGAGTTTAAGATACATTCGGAAATAATTCACAGAAGTAATCTGTTGGACTGCTTCGAGCAACTTCGTGCAATGATTTCGAAAAAAGGACAAACATCAAAATGGCAGCGAAAAAAATGCTTAGGGGTTTGAATGTAAAAGTGAAAAGCCGTACAGTACTGAGAAAATTCTTATTTCGCCTACGATGTGTCAGGAATAAATCTTTATGGTGATTTTGACAATAAACCAAAACTAATAAAAAGAAATAACTCGACATTCAGGCGCTTATGAAATGAGAGTAAATATTTGAAAATCGCAAATATATTTCAAAACCATTATTTTATATTTTTTTATTATTTTTAAGTCCTTAAACCAGTTTTTACCTTTCAATAAAAATATGACTTTCTCAAGAGGGGATACAGAGGAGAGCAAATCAGCGAGGGTAGCAGTGAGGCAAAAATGCCTCTGGCTTAAGCATATGGACAACGTTCTAAGACATTTTTAATATTAAATTCAGATCTAGAAGTTTTATTTGATTTAATATAAAAAGGTTGAAATGATTTATTGTTCAGAATATTCTATTATCAATAATAATAGTAATATCGTGTCATTTGAAAATGAGCAGACTTCATTTTTCAAATTTTTTCTCTCTTTTATTTTAAAGGAAGAGGAAATGAGCATTGATCAACTGGAAGAATACATAAATAAATTGAATTCGGAGGCTGAAATATTGCGTGATAAGCATAATGCGCTCTCTGAACGTGTACGAACTTTACCGCTTGGACAGGTTTTTTTCTATTTTTTCAATTTTTTTTATTGTTTTTGTTGTTTGTTTACAACACGTTCATTATGAAAAATAATGTTATATTATGAACCATATTTTTCGAAATGTTTCTATTTGTAATTCAACACTTGAGAATTTAGGATCGATTTCATCGCTATTTTTGGTCTGTTCCTTCATATGGTGCTCCATTAGTGGAAAGTATTGCATCAGGATCATTAAACAATCCTGCTGTTAATATCGATATTACTTGTGCAGATGACCCACCTTCTATCGTTGGTATGTTTATTTTTTAAAATTTCCTAATATTTCGGTGATATCCTAAGAGAAATTTTAAAGAATGAAGACTTAATAGAAGTGGCTTTACAGATGATCCTTATCATTATATGGATCCCGACGTAATTGCTTGTGTTGAAGATATTCTTGACGAAATGTGTGTTGCAGAAGAAAAACCCGACAAAGGCAAAAAAGGTTCCTTAGCAAAATTTCGGTTTCAAAAATGGAAAGAGCAATTGTACAAGAAGATTATTAGTTTAAAATATTTTTCCATTCCTGGAACAATTCTGTAAAAAAAATAAAATTACACGAAGAATCTTATTTCATAAATTTTTATTATTAATTATTTTTATTATTACTAATTAATTTTTATTATTAATTTTTTTTGAAAAATACTGTGAGATTGAAATTGTGAAATGAAAAAAATACAAATGCCAATAAAATGTATCGCAGTGGCATTTTAATTTAATTTTATTTTAAGTTCGATTTCGCCGGTTAGACAACAAATGTAAGCGAGGTTGGTGGACCATCACAAATGAGAAACAAGTAGAGCAGTTTCGTGGAACATTACATGGACGTGGGATACGTGAACGCGTTTTGCAACGTGTCCTTGCAAAAGATGCCAGCGAATTCGCTTATGGCAAACAGCGTATTTGTTTTTTTTTGAAAAATTATTGAGCAGAGGTTTAGCCATGAGCTTGATGAATTGATAAATTAATAAAATCACGAAAAAAGTATTTCCCTTAATAAATTTTTTATCCAGATTTTTGAGAATTGAGAAAGGAAATCAGAAATTTCCAATAATCAACCCATATTTCTAAAAATTAATAAAGAACAAAATTTTGATGTAGAAGGGAGGTGCATTTTGAGGTCGCAAAATTTAAACCCATAAACAATTTTCGAGTTAATTTGATGATGAAATTTGGTGAAACGTGGATTCCTATCGGTTACAGCCCACGAACTTTTTGTGTTCCTATTGTAAAAGCATAACATCATAATATTCTGCTGGAATTTTTTGAAATGAAATAAAAAATTTTGCAAAATCTAAAACATTTTCCGCGGTATTTTTTGCTTAATACGAGCAGTTTTTAGTGAAATTTTCAACAGTTAGTCGATCTCTTACGAAATTCGAATTGAATCAGTCAACTTGTTCACGACTTGCAAATAAAGTTGCAGCACTGGAACAAAAAGTGTTGGCTGCCAATTTTTGTTGCGAGGTTCTTTTTAATTCATGCCAAATTGTTGGAAATATATGGCAATTATTTACATTTACAGAAGTCACTGGTGATTCTTAGACTTTCCGTTTGTTGAACTAGTCAAATATGCTAGTGACTTCCTTGGCGATAAAAGTATAGGTAAATCGCCAGCATTACCTAGATTTTCAAAGGGTAGGCTTATTCTTGTTGCCAGCAGAATCTCAGTATTAGTGTTCCGAATTGAGAAACTGCCCACTGAGCCATTCTACTCTCTTTTGTTTTTTTCTATTGGATAAAATTGCGCATGTAGGTCGTATTCTAACTCAAGCCTCGATTCATCGATTGTCTTGGCACTGAGCTTCATTTAAATTTTATGCATTTATTTAATTATAGTGCTTTTTAGCCATCAAGATTCATCGATACTGATGATGTTGACAGTGAAGATAGCTTAGATGGTTGGAATCGAGACGATAAATATATTTTTCTAAAAAGACAAGAGAATGATGATGATTGTGATCTCGTCGATTGCGAAGAATTCAAACACATAAAGCGTCGATTATTGGGTCTTGAAAAAAATATCGAGAGACGATACCTATTACACAGATATCATGCCAGGTTTACTGTTTTTAACATTTCACTGGGAAATCCATCTTAAATTCAGTTATTAAATTCAGTTATAATCAGTTTCAAATCAGCCTGGTTTTTAACTAAATCGAAAAAAACTTTTTTGCACTTTAGATCGTGGATACCAGCTGAATTAATTCTTCGTGCACAGGAACCAAGTTATAATAATTTGGATCAAGGAAATTCGAATAATGATACGGTAGCAAATGGCAGTTCGAAGGTAAATATGAAAAAAATAGATGTAAATGAACAGCCGGTATCGAGCGCCATTGTATGCGATGAAAGTGGAGATACACTTCTATTGCAGAAATGGCGAAAATTTGTCGAGGAAGCAAAAACTGGTGGACAGGTGATGCTGGCTATCCAGGTAACCATCTGTTTGAAAAATTTTTTAAATATGGCAATTTATTTTTGTTTTATCGAAACGAATTAATTACTAATACGAATGAGCAGAATGGCCAGTTGGTATGTTAACTGAAATCAAGCTATCAGGTTCGATTCCTGACCCTTCTACTTCTGTTCTCAAGTGATAGCGGAGTCTACTAGAATCACTCTACTAGAACCATAGTGAATACTGGAAGAATGTAAAAAGTATCTAATGTCACTTTCTAAAATCTGAAAAAAATGAGAAAGTAGCATTAATGAATATCGGTTCTACTATCGACTTTTCATTTCATTCTTGTTGAAAATCAGTGGATGAAATGATAATTTTTTTAGGCTTTGGATGCTGGTGTAGCATGGGAAAAGTCGATTATGAAAGTTTGCTGCCAGATTTGTCGGAATAATGAAAATGAAAGTCAGCTTCTGTTATGCGATTCTTGTGATTTTGGTTATCATCTATATTGTTTTAGGGTAAGTATTTACCTGTATTTTGAAACTCTTTCGGAGTTAGCTATTTTGATTTTTCAAATTTTCATTTAATTGCTTTTTTCTGGTAAATCATTTTTAACTTTTAATATTTAACAATATTTTTAATATTTATTTAATATTTTTAATATTTAACATTTTTTAGCCTCGACTTTCTGCTGTTCCACCCGGTGATTGGTTCTGCCCATTGTGTGTCCAGCGAGCATGTGGTAAAGTTCTTTGCCTTCTTTGTGGTCAATATTCACAGTCAAATGTAATTGTTATTTGTTCGAAGTGTTATTACGGATATCATCCTATATGTTTCGATCGTCCTCCAGTTGTAGCTGATGCAAAACAGTGGACATGCCCTGGATGTCTCAATGTTAGCTGTTTTAAAATTGATAATCATTCCTCATGTTTATGCTCAATTAATTTGTTGCATCTTATTAAGGTTGCGGGGTCATCTACAGAATTAAAAAATGCCTTATTGAATAACGACATAGAAATGGGTACAGACCAACAAGAAAGTGGAGAAAATAATTTAAACGGGATGCACGATGTTATTGTTGGTAGACCTGTTTATGGTCACGCAGATACATCAATAAAGCCTAAAAGTGGCCACAAAAGAAAGCTTCCTCCTCCAGATTATGATTTTCCACCTGATATGTTGAATTCTCTCTTTATGTAAGTTTTTTTCCTATTCATGAAATCTTATAGAATTTTTTTTTCCTTTATATTTGTTCTATTTTTAATTGCTTTCCTTAATTCAATAAAATTCAATTAATAGGACGATGATCGACGAAATGTGGAGATTGCCAGAATCTGAACCTTTTCGTTATCCGGTTGATCCGCGAGTTGTTCCGCTTTACAGAAAAATAATCAAAAATCCTATAGATTTATCGGAGATTCGCAGTAACATCGAAACACAAAGGTTACCTTTTTTTATATGGTAATTTTCATCAAAATTATCATTTTTATTATTTATATATTTTATATCAAATATTTTTTCAGATATGATAGGCAAGAAAAATTTTTGGAAGATGTCGACAAAATTTTCGAAAATTGTCGAAAATTCAATGAAGATAATTCAGAAATCGGTGCGGCTGGTATTGCTTTACATAAATTTTATACGAAACGATGGAAACAATTGCGATACAATTTTTCCAAAAGATTAAAAAGATTACAAACAAAGCATCCCAGAAGCGATAGACCTCACTCTTCATGTGAAGCTGCTGGGCCTTCACTGGCATTATAATTTGCAAATATTCTTCTCCAAGTCTTATAAATTCGCAAATCTTACAAATCGATCTCCTCTTTATTTTCACTTTTAATGTTCTCTTGAAGCTTTACATAATTTTTCAATTCCGAAAATGGAATTATTGTAAATTTTGATTTTACAATTTTGCCTTCATATTCATTTTGTTTTGTTTCCATTAAAGCCGTTTCTATAAATTTTCGCAATCCCGGGTAGTTTGTTTATTTTATGTAGAATAAATAAATAATATTCACCTGTCCGGTATTGTAAATTCGATTGAATAAACCATTTGGAATCATCTTTACCCAAAAAATTTTTGAAATAGAATTCTTCCCATTAATGAAAGGAGTTATATTCAGTTCTAAGTTCAAATGTAAACATAAAATAACTTCTGCTTTATATTGTTTCTGTTTTCATTTTCTTTTTTTTTGGCTGGGAATTTGTAAAATATTGCGTAAATTGACGAGTACCAATCATTTTGCCTTGAACTTAACTGTACTCGTTTTTTCCACGCAGTCGTACTGCTTTTTTTGCTTTTTGTAAACTGTTTTTCTTATTTCTTATTTTCTTATTTTTCTTATTTTTTTATTTTTCTTATTTTTTTCTTAGATCTCTTTTCTCTTCCATTATTCTCATCATGCAAAGTATTAAAAATGCTTTATGTTTATCGTTACAAAATTTCTAGGTTTTTTCAAAAAATTTTGATGTTTCTCTAGAGATTCTTTGCTTTGTTTAGTACCATAAACCCCAACTTGCGGGACTTTTTGATTAGATATTTAGGAAAAGATCAAAGTTTCGTCGTAATTAATTGTTTACCTCTAAAACTTTATATTAATAAATTGTTTCCAATACACTGTCATCATTTTTGAATGGTTTTGTTGGAATTTGATTTTTGCGTTCTTGTGGAAAAAACCAGTGGCAATAATATATTTTAATACTCGTATTGTATTGACTTTTGCTTGTTTTGTTGATATAATAACCATCTATAGGTGTATAAAATGATCTGTCTAATGTCTATTTTAGTGGACGCAAAAAATAAAATTCAAAAATCAAAGATTAATTCTTCGTCCACGAAAGGCATTAGATTGAGGGTGTCATTCTTCAATAATCACCACTTTCGCAGATTTTAGTAAATTTGTTCTCTATTCGTTCATTTAGATAACAAATTTAGATAACAAAATATTCAAAATATATTTAAATTAATATTTTTAAACAAGGTAAAGCAATCTCTTTAACGAATTTCAGTTGACTATTTTGATCTTATTCAAAATGAATTCGAGTTTTTTTTTGAGTTTTATTCAGTTTTTCTATAGATTAGCTCCCACAATTTTTTTGAAATTACCAGTGATAATCAACTACTTTATAAAATACTAAATGAATAAACATATATATATGAAAAAGTGAAATATTTTATTAGTGATGTTTTGGAAAAGCCTTACTTGATAAAAATTTACTTAATTTTATAGAAGTAAAATGAGAAAACTAAGTAAAATGAGAAAATAAGTCGTTTTGTAAATAAATATCTACAAACATGTTAATCTATCTACCCTATGGACAATATTCAGTGTTCAGTAATTCAGATTGTATAGGTGATGCATGCCGCGCTTAGTCTGCGCCGTTTCGAAACTGAACTTCGGAAAATCATCAAATTTGCCGTTATATTTCGATATTTCCATTACCCAATCATTAGTACTAGTGATAAATGCCAGTGTTTCCATCTGCTTCTAAATATTATTTTAAATCTCACTGATACATATTCGAACTGAAACAGAGGAAATAAACTTGTTGAACAATATATTAAAAAATTAAAAATGTTACTAATAATTTAAAGTGGAAAATTTATACACAGAATTACACAGAATCTTTTTTACCTTCAAAATTATTATTTAACTCATCCGTTTTCAAAAATTACCTCTTATCATTTCGTTGCATTCGAATTTTGTCCACATGCCTTAAAAACAGGGAAATAGGTACCATAGGGAAAAGAATATATTAAATTAAATTTCATCAAATTGAAATTACTGATATATCCACAGATTTAAAAAATCATATAAAAATGGAAATGGCCGAAAATTTAATAAACAACTGGCCGATATTTAGATAAAAATTTTTTATTCATAGTGCATCATTTTAATTATTTAAATATAAACCTGGAACACTAGTTTTTAGTTTTGCTGCTTCTGCAGCCGCTATTTGTCGTTTCAATCGCTTTCTTTCCGTTTGCCTAGCACCTAGCTGCCGTCGTTCTTCAATGCTCATTCGGTAGTACCTTAGAAAAGTCATTCATGGTTATTAAGCTGAATTTTACTTACTTAAAAAGAAGTGCATCTTAAAAATAATTCATTCATTAATATGTCGACGAGGCATTTAAATAGTTTTAAAAAGATGAGATGTGAAAAAGATATTTAAAATAAAAAATAAAGCACGGAAAATATGAAATATAAAATAAATGAGCGATATTTTTTCGTAGCGAAATTACGAAACCTTCTTCTGGCAGCCTCTGCCCATTTTGCTTTTTGTAATTGTCTCTTTTCTTCGCTCATGTTTTCTCGTCGACGCCTCGCTGTCTCAGCCCATCGTGCCTTTAGCTGTTGCATTTCTAATGGCGACATCTCTTCGCGACGTTTACGAGCTGCTTGTACCTGAAATAAGCGATTCCATAAAACAAATTCTTTCGACTTTTTTGAAACCTCATAAAAAACTGTCAAAAACCTGTCTTTCACGAATAAGCCTCTGACGCGTCTCTTTTTCATTTACGTTTTCTTGTTCCAAGAAACTATTTGATAAATTGCTGAAATCCATGTAAAATCATTTCACTGATAATTTCACTTTCATTAGAAATAATTTTCTTCTAATTAAAGTAATAAATAGATATTTAACAAAGAACGCGAAACAAAATAAATATAATATAGTAAAATAAAATAATCGAAATTTTTATCCTAATAAGATAAAATGTAAAATGAAAAAAAAAAAGACCTTGGCAAATATTCGGTTTGGTGCAAAACACTACGAAATGATGAAGATGGCTGTGAAGCTGTCGACACGATCAAATATTCCGCAACGGTCATCTAAAATTTAAATAACATATTTAAATATTTATATATCAAGATATATGATCAAAAAAACAAAAACAAAAAAAAAGGTAATCCTAGGAGCAATACAGAATGCTCAAAAGTCTTTAAAATCCCAAAGGAAAATATTTACTGAACCAATGACAGCGAAATTTAATTGTGATAATGATAAAGATAATGATCGATTTTGATTCAACAAACCTCCTTATTAACAGTGCAATTCATACTTGAAAATTCAGGAAATTCCTCCATTGCTAAATATCTGTAAAACAAAATATGAAAAATATGAGTTTTTCAAATCAAATCATCGCATCAATTAAAGTAACTTTATCGCCTAAAAACGTAAATAATCGATTAAATAAAATAAAATAATGAAAATTAATTTAAAAATTACGAGAAAACAAAAATAAGAAAGGCAAAAATGATTGTAGTTATATTCACAGATTCAAATTTAAATTTAAATCTTGGTATTTTAAAAATTTTTTCCATTTTTTACTACTATTTCGTGCAAAAATTTGCATAATCTTGCTTTTTTCCTTTTCTCTGACTTTTCCATCTGTATTAATTCACCTTCAACAGTTGTGATAATTCGTTTTCTCCATCTATTTTTGAAATCGCTCCTTGTTTTTGCTTGTAGGCACTACTAATTCCATCATATTCGTCCCATTACGAATCGAAAGGATTGAATCTTAGGTCAGTGAACAAAATAACTTGTCGCCTTTTCATCTTATTTACAAGAAGCTGATAAATACCTATTTTTATCAATTCTTTGCTTATGTGGTTAAAGAAGTGCCAGATTTCAAATATCTCGGATCCACTCTAATCCCAAATGGCCAAGCGAAAGAGGAAATTTCGGCCCAGACAATGGCAGCTAGAAATGCTTTCATCCGGTTAATGAAATTTTTGCTCGTCGCGAAATTACTATAAAAACGAAAGCACGCCCCTATGTAATCGCAGTTCGCTCAATCTTGCTATATGACTACAAGAACTAGCCATTGAGAGTGGACGATATTAAGAAGTTATCTGCCTTTGACCACTAAGATATCTTGACCACTAAGGAGTCCACTGAGCCGCAAATGTTTGCATCCACTCTCCCTCAAATACCACTTGCATTAACAGTACCGCAGAACACCGCCTTGGCTAATTAAGGCACGTTCTTCGTTATCCACCACAAGAATCGATACCTTTCGTTGCCTGCTTGGGGTTAAAGGTGAAGTGGACGAATCAAAACCTGGACTGATACGGTCAGGAAAGGTTTTGGGACGTACAGGTGGAGCAGCAATATATGGACTTATACAATGAAAAAAAGAATGGCTTCTATTACTGTCAACGATGGCATCAGACCGCGCCGCTTCGAAACTCTTACCCTCTAGTCAGCGGAAGCGGCCTAACAAGTAATGGTGAGGACTGTTGGAAGAGGAATAAAATATAGTGAAGACACTGTTACTTTAGGGATAAGAATGAATTTACTGAGAAATGAAGTTGAGATAATGGTGGCAATAAGTGAATAAGTAAAACTGTGTGATTCGGAAGAACTTGCTCATAAATTAACGAAAGCTTACACCGTATCCAAGCATTTGTCTCCTCTTCGTTTTCCTGGATATGTGCAACAATACTTGGTTCCCATTCGCTTATTTTTGTATCTGTTGACTGGATATACTCTTTCACTTCTGAATTGGCACTGCGGTTAGAAATTCGACTAACTGTGGCTGACCAAAACTCAGTGTCGCCCTCACTGAGGAAAATTATACAAGTAAAACTTATATAATTTTTATTTCCTAAATGAATACCGAACAGAAATGCCACTTCGACTGCGGATGAACATCGCTGACTCCATTTCAATTTTTGACGATATCATTAAAAAGCGCTAGGATGCTCCACCGGTACATTTGCAGTCACGAAACGTTTCACTCCAATTGTCAGTTCAGCCGACCAAACCAAAAGTGCTGATTCCTATCGTAGGAGGGAACTTACGTAAAGAGCCGTATATTGTTAACGCTTCGCTCGTACGCTCAGAGCAGCGACTCGCAAAATCTGACGGGGATCAACAGGAAAAGCGATGAAATCTTGGCGGTTGCTGCTAGCCGATCTCACCAAAAGTAAAGTGAATAATGAACCTGCTCGCCGCAAAACCGAAACGCATCCGTGCGTCAAAATTGATGAATTCAGATCTCTCACATTTCGCAAAACACAAAAATTTCAAACACTTCTCCGACACAATCCCCCCTTTTGCTGACCTATTATTTTTATTAGGTGTATTTCGGTCACATATAACTTATGGCGGAAAATTCGCATGGCACAATCCCTCTAGCTGCGAAAAATCACAGAAACGTGGCGCCATCGTTGATTGTCTAAAATTTGCAGTTCGTCCCTTCTATGGTCCCTTTTGTCATTATAATCCTGAGTTTTCATGAGTGTTTGTGCCAGGGAGAATACTTTATTTAAAATAATAGTCTTAAATCATCGTCTAACAATCACCATTAATGGTTAGGCTGCTTTCACTGGGTGCAAGGATAAGTTTCCATGCTGTTCCGATGCTGTCAGTGACAGTGATAATAGAAACCATTTCATTTTCCCCCGTCTAAGTTTCATATATCGTTGCTCCACTTATGCATTCAAAATCTTCCTGATTACATCAGTCCAGGTCCATTGGCCCACCTCGCTTCCATGTGGGATTTTATCCAACGAAACGTAAAATGTATCTTAGACATGAATGGTCAAAGGCAGATAGTGTCTTAATATCCTCCACTTTCATTGGCCATATCTCACAGCCACAAGATCGAGCGAATCATGGCTATATAGATGCGGTCTTTCGTTTTTATAGTGATTTCACGACGGTTCACGACGGCTGCATAAAAATTTCGTCAATCGAAAGAACGCATTTCCGCTATAGTTATCCGAGTTGTAATTTCGTCTTTTGTCTGGCCATTCGGTTTTAGAGTGGACCGAAGGTATAACCGGCAATAAGTTTAAGAGACAAAAGGAGGCATTTTATCAGTTTCTTGTAGATAAAATGAAAAGGCTTTCGCTTTATTTGCATTGAATCGGAGTCCCATTCCTTCTGCAGTTGCTAACACAAACCTTCTTTAACACTTGCACTTCGTCATAATTGTCAGCAAAAAGGCTTTTTTTTTTAATATCATGAGCGTATTCAGATCATATATGATATTAAGCTCTGGACTGATTTGTACACCTTTTGAATGCTGACAAGCGATGTCCGTTTCCAGTCTATTACACAGATAAATATTGTAGATGAAAGGATGCAGCCTTGGATACCAGTTCTTATTTTGAAAGGGTCTGTGAGTTCCACATATACAGAGACATATGCCAATGCACGGTGATAAAATGACTTTATGAATAGAATCTTCTCTGAAACATAGTCACATTTTATCACTCTCCGAATGCTTTATCAAATGAATCGAAGGCAGCTACAAAATCGACGAAACAAGCGGCTATGGGTTGTCGATTTGATTTTCCAACATTTTTCTTAACGTGAATATCTGGTCAACACAACCGCGTCCAGTCTGAATCCATCTTGGTTAGGGCACATCCTGCTGTCTCGTATTGCCATAAGTCTATTTAGCAAGAGGAAAATAAAAATTTTCCCAGAGATTTCTAGTAGGCTGATTCCTCGATAATTATCGTAGTGTTTCTTGTCGCTCTTTTTGAGTAATAGGAGCGAAGTCGTCTGCTCCAATCTTCTGGTATTATTTATAGGATCGTAATATTTGAATAAAAGTTATAAATAAAATTAAAATTAAACTTTTTATTCGAGTATTTCAGGCTGCGACCCATCTGTACATCTATCGCCAAGTGGCAGAAATTTGTTGCATAGGATAAGCCAGTAAGACGAACTTAATCAGAAGTGGTGAAAACTACAAAACAAAAAGGGAATTATGAGCTACATTTTCAAACTGCAATTTGTGCAGTTTGGTAGGATAAGTTCAAGAAACTTTAAAGGTGCGGAGATTCATAACAGGTTCTGAGGAATCTGCCAACAAAAAGGTTAAAGGAAAGGTAACGAAAAAGTAAAGCGAATAGTAATCGCACATTAAGGAAACAGAGTGGGATTTTAAGAAGTTTTTAAGAGAGAAAAACTAAATATGATGGCAGAGTTTGGAAGATTTGAGAAAATCTAAAAGATGAAAGGGTACTTCAGGGTCGAGAGGATTTTAAAAGGGATCTAGACAGAACACGTTTCTAACGAAAGGTTGGATGAATTTTGAAAGAATTTGGCAAAATTTTGGAGAAAATAGATACGTTACGTTAGATACGTTAATAGATACGTATTTTTTCTGAACGTACAATGCTTAAGCATGCGAAGCATACACGCCACATTGTATACACACAGACAGCCAGTGAAGTTAACTAACTAAAAATATTGAAATATTGAAATATTTAATTATTCAGACTTTATTAGATAATTAAAGTTTGCATTGGCTAGCGAGTGTGGAGTTAGAATCCAGTGAGCCAATGAAATGAGTCTTCTTCACAGAGAAGAGGTTTTGCTATATACACGTTTACACGTTTTCATATAGCTAAATGGAACTCGTCAATCGACATTCCAATTAAATTGACCGCATTTTGGTCACTCATCATCGGTTAGCAACCCCCACAAGTCACCATATATTATAGCTAAAGACAAGAATAAAAAAAGTAACACAAAACGTCCCCTAAAATCTTTTGGCTGATATTAAAAAATTTGGAAACAGTTGGAACATTTGAAGATGAGGTACTTATGTACCTACAGAGTTTCAACAACCTCTGGAACCGCTAACAAACACTGGTAATTGGAATCCTCTAGGGTCAGCTAAATCTGCCCTAGGGTATATATACGATTCGAAAGAAAGCGAGTCTAACAGTTCAACTGGACTTCACGGCCATGCCAGAAGACGCTAGCTAACGAAATTCTCTCGCAACAAAACTTACTTGAATAATATTCCTTTATGGAGGTAGCTGCTCGAGTAAACATCATTCATTCCATCTATTTCATCAGAAGTATGGTCAGTGATCAAAAATCACGATGAACGATGAAAACCTTGTCGCTCTGATGGCGAGAGTTTCTTTGAATATAAATTTAAGCACGAAGATTCATCAAACATCCCGGACATGCATGACTGGAACGTATTTGGAGCCATATGATATATTGCGAATCACCAAGCGAGCACAAAACAATCTCTCAACACTCTATAATTCGCAAATTCAAGGTCAATGAAATCTTTCAAGAAGATGGTTTGCGAGCTGAATTCTTCAAATATTGCCCAATGCCAATAAAAGTCATATTCACTGGTATGGAAGAAAAGCAAATATCATATGAAACAAGGTAATTCAGATCCAAGTTCGTAAGAAAGGTGATAGAACGTAACGTACTGCGACAACTATCGATAAATATTACTTATTATCATTATTATAGGATTATAAGATGTTTCCGGGAAGATGTTTTTGCTTTCCTTTCGGTAATTAACCAAACGGGTGACCGGAAATGGCTCTGATTAAATTATCACGCTGATAAGGGTATATGAACGTGCTTCAGGTGTTGGAAACCATTGTATGTTTCATCGGTTTTTGCCGCTTCTTTTTTCCCTCTTCCCTCCTCTCTCCTTTACAGTTTTCAATGATGCGATAGATTGGAGCCGTGCACAGTGCAGCGAAAATTGGTCTTCATAGATCAATGAGAACAAGACGTTGAATAAAAATAAATAAGAATAAAAATAAATTCTTTTTATTTGCAATATCTAAGATCAACTTCTATAATTTCATCAACGGTCCAAGGAATTTAACAGATTTCAAATATTGCAGATCCAATCTCATATCTAATGGTCAGGGGAAAGGAGAAATTAGAGATGGCTGCAGCTAGAGATGCCTTCTTTCGTTTGGTGAAACCTTTTTGGGATTGACATGATGAAATCAGCCTCAAAATAGAACAAAAGGTCGCACCTATCTGGCTTTAGTATGCACAACTTGCTAAACGGTTTCAAAATTTAGCCAATGAGAATAGAAGATATCATTTCAATTGACAATTTGAAACATACGTCAAATCTCTGAGGTTCATATCTTCCGGGCTGTTATCATTGACCGTTGGCCCAGTTCGAACTCAAAAAGTACCAGGCATCGAAAGTCGCATCTTTCCAAAACACGGAAAAAGGGCGATTATATTTCCAGAAAAAACTGAATTTCGAGGTTATGGTAAGCATAATAAAAGAAATTTGTGAATGAGATAGTACAAAGATCGCATTAAATTTATTTTCGAAATATCCTTGTAGCAATAACTGCTCGATTGGTATTTTCAACCATGGCCTTCGAGTGAGTATATAAAATTATTTCATTTAAGAGAGGAAACAAGTGAGTTAAGTAAGGAAGTGTTTATCAATGCCGGTTAGACCAGCTGCGCTGGCTGTTAATAGGAATTTTTCCTAACAAGTTACTTGACGTAGCATAAGTTGGTTTACTCTGAAATGGTTTACTCCTGTTAGGGTGGCGAAGCAAAGATCTATGCAGATAGCTATGCGGCTAGCCTGTCTCCACTCACCCTCAATTATTTTGCTTACCACCAAACATGCAATTTGTCGCAAAAGTATGATAAATTTATTCATTACAAAGAAGCGCAAAGACAAATAAACAGAAAAGAGACCGAATGAGCTAGTAAAACCACTTCGAACGGAAAAAAAGAAAAACATCGATAAACTCACAGATAACTGCAGAAAGAGAATGAATTACAGTACTGGCATAACTGCATAAAAAACAATCTCAACCTAATGCGCCTACAATCTGCAATAAGCATCTGAGAAATACAAAAATCGGCGGTGGTTCCCTTTAGAATTTTGCAGCAAAGGCATTAAGAAGATAACATAAATTTGCATTTTATAATGAACTTCGCCTGATTTTTCTTTCTTTTCTCAACATTTTCATTCCGACCTGTCTTAAAAAAATTGAGCTAAAATTTTAGAAAATGAATATGAATAAATATGGTTCATCTATTTTAATACGAGATAACTAATAGTGCAGCAGTAAGGAAAAGAAAGAAAAATGATAAAATGTGCCCAAGTTTTGCAGCCATCAACTGATAATTCATATTATTTGGTTTATCATATTATCACAACAAATAAAACTGATTAAACCTGGTTGCAAAAAGAAAACAAAAAACAAAGAATTCGGAAAGCGCTCCATTTTTATCAAAAAAACATATATGCATACCATGCTTATAATCACACAAATTTTAATTATTTTAATCAATAAACAATAAAAAAGAATATTGCAACAATAATTAAAAAATATTTCGTATAATAATGATAAGAACCAGATTCAAAAGAAAAATAAACAGATTTTTACAGATATCAATCTTTAACAAATTTAAAAAATATTTTATTTATAAAATTTTAAGCCAGAAAAAATAATTCCAAAAAATTTTTTAAAAAAAACTTCCCAATTTGGTAAATAAGCTTTCGCAGTTTATTTGGCAATAAAACATATTTTAAAATCTATGAAAATAAAATGAAAAGAAATTTTTCAATTTCAATTAAAGTTTTCCTAAAAAAAACAAAATTTTTCCATTTTTCCTAAAAAATGCATCAAGTCTTCAAGATTTACTATGGAAAAAGAATGCAATTTTACTTTTCTTTCAAAAAATGAAAGATATCAATAATTTACAAATTTATAAATTGGTGATCGTTGTTACAGTATTTGTGGCACATAAAGTAAATAACCTAGATTAATTAAATATATCACCTGAATTTTTGAAAAAAAGGCCGAAAAAAAATGATGTAAAACATTGCGAAAAAGGAAGACTTATGAAATAATTAAGTAAGCGAAACATATGAAGTAAAATTTTTAAATCTTTTCAAATAATTTTCTTCATTTTAAAAAATGGTAACGAAAAAATTGAAACATTCATGATATTTCAGAATATCTAAAACCTAAATGTTCTTAAAACAGATCAAAAATCGGCCGAGCACCTCGAAATAACGGAAAATGAATTTTTAAAAATCGCATTTTGGCAAAAATAAATTTCATTTCATTTGAAATTAAATTAAATTAAAGTATTTCAAAAATCTAAAATTCTACAATTAATCAGAAAAATGAAACAATAATGAAGAAGCACCAATAATGTCTTAAAAATAGGATGGATATAAGTCGAAACACAAATAAATTGTTTTTATTAATTAAAAAATCGAGAACAAATTTCCATCGAGATATTATTGTAAAAAAGCAATTCAGGAAAAAATAAAACGGAAGATCTCTTTCAAAAAAAAGAAAAACTGGAAAAAATTACAACATTCGCGGCACATACATTCGATTAAAACGTAGCATTGTATCTCGTTCCATTCGTTGTGGATCATCAATTGATTTAAATAATGATATTGGATCAAATGCGGTCCCATTGCTATTATTATTACCTAAACACTCTGAAACTGCAAAAATTCGTTCTAATGAGACGGTTGATGAAGGAATTGTTAACAATTCAATTGCCATTTCTGATAATAAACCATATTTCACAGAATTCAATAACCAAAATTGTAATGGCGATAACTGATTTTGATTATTATTTGATATAATTTTTAGTGGCAATGGTGAAACTGTACGATCTCCAGCACTCTAAAAATTTATAATTTCAATAAAATGAGTGAACACAGAAATCCATATTAGTTCCAAAGATTAGTTCCAAAATAAACTGAAAAATGAAACATACAATAATTTCGTCAAAATATGATTGTACAATTGTTTCTGCATAGCGAATATTTCCATTCTGTTGCATATTTTTCTGAAATTCATTAAATGATGAAAAAATGCCTACATTATTTGATCTGTAATTCTGCAAAACTAATTACTCCTACATTAAAGAGCATTTTCATCTAAACAGCCCTCATCATTTCAGGACGGCTTATTTCCATTTGCGACCCTCCAGCCAATCAGTCTGGAATTGTACCTATCTTTAATGACATTTCTTTCAACGAATAAGAATCGAATTCGAATACATAATGACCATTAAATTTTAGTGAAACCCAATATACCGCTCAAAATTAATTTAAATAAATAACCCTCATTGTTTTTCTCCTTTCATTAGCTGCATTTAGAAGATCGGGCGCAGTTGATAATTCTTTATTATCGAATGGTTCGTTATTACTATTGCTTTCCTTATGCGATGAATTCAAATTACGATCAACCACAGATAATAAAGTATCGACACCACAATTTAACTTCATATTTCTCTTTACAACAGCTTCTTCAGCAGCTCGCATCCTTTCGCTCAACTTAAAGTTTCTAAGATTAATTCAACTGAATTATATTAAAATAAATATTTCAAATTAAATATGCGATATCCAAAATCTTAAGTATAATATATAATATATATTATATAATATATTATATTGATATTATCTTAATATTTGATATTTGACATATCTTTGTTAAGAGCAAGGATATCAAAAAATTAAGATAAGCTTTTAATTTTGTATCATCTTTGCAACATATGTTCGAAAATCAAAAATCAATCGAAAATTGGAGTTCGCGAAAGGTAGTAAAAAGGTATGGCAATTCACACATCTTCAAAAAATGTTAATGGAGCCATTCGGCTGACCCAATATAAATTGGTAATATTCTGAGCAAAGAAAAATATTTGAACTTGTTAGTCTTTATTAAAGATAAATCTTCACGTCGATACAGCGCTTAACCCAAAAAAATAATTACTTATCGTATTTCAACTTAAAGGGTTTTCAGATATTCCCGTTTATTTCATGATTCTTCTTCTTTTTCTAACAGCTCACATCATTACTGGTTAGACTGGCTCAAATGGCTACAAAAGTAAGAGATTTCCAGGCGGTGCGGTTTGATGCTATCGTCGACAGTAATAAAAGCCATTTCTTTTTCCATCGTCTAACTCCATATATTGCTGGTCCACCTTTCCTGGCCGTATCAATCCAAGTCTTGATTGGTCCACCTAGCTTTTCACGCCACCTAACGCAGGATTTAGCAAGTAACGAAAAATGTATTAACTTTTGTGGCTGGCGATGAAGAACGTGTGCTAAACAGCGAAGCCGACGCTATGTGATGGCACTGTCAATGCAAATGATATCTGAGGGAGAGGGAGAGATGCAATCATATGAGATTTTATCCACCCGTAAAATGCACCTTAGATATGTGTGGTCAAAGGCAGATAACTTAATATCCTTCCACTCTCATTGGTCATATCTCGAAGCCATATAGCAAGATTGTACGAATGGCGGATATATTGATGCGGACTTTCGTTTTTGTGGTGTGGCGACGGCCCCATAAAGGTTTCAGATGCAACCTGAAGGATGCATTTCTTGCTGCCGTAATCGTCTTTTGCTTGGCCATTCGGTATTAGAGTGGATCCAAGGTATTATCAGGCATTTCTTCAACCGTAAATGAGTGTTTATAAAATGAGGCATTTAATCAGTTCCTTGTACATAAGACGAGGTTTTATTTATATTGAGTCCGATTCTCGCCGCAGTTGCTGATATTTAGCATTATTTGCATTTCGTCATAACTTTCAGGAAAAAGGTTTCCAGCATCAAGTATTCAAGATCTGTGTTATATGTCCAGTCTATCGCATAGTTGAATATTGAAGGGTTTCCCCTAAAACACAACCAGTTCTTATTTCAAAGGATTTTGTCAATTTCCTATAAACACAGATCTGCGCTGATGTATGCTCATACAATGTGAGTCGAATGATCTCCGGAAAATTATCTCGTTCCACCACTGTCCAAAGCGCAGCTCTATCAATTGAATCGAAGGCAGCCGCAAAGTCGATAAAACACGTGATAATGGGTTGCAAATATGAGAAGCGATGTTTCAACATCTTTTTTAACGTGAATATCTAGTCAGCACAATCACGCCCCTCTCTAGTCAGCTTGATTAGGGCACATTCTGCTATCCCATATTTCCATAATTCTATTGAATATAAGTGAAGCAAAAATTTTAGCTGAAACGTCTAGTAGGCTGATTCCTCGATAATTGTCGCAGTATGTCCTATTACCTTTCTTGAGAATTGGGAGCAGAATTGCTTTACTCCAATCTTCTGGTAATATTTCTTTTTCCCATACTAGAGAATACATTTGTTGAAGGTGCATTATGAAGGACGATGGACAACATTTGAAGAATTTAGTCCGAAGACCACCTTCTCCCACTTCGCTTTATTGGTCTTAAGTTTATGGATAGCAAAAATTATTTCTTCTTCTGTTGGCAGCTCGCAGTTGCAATAATATGGTTCGATGAACATATCAGCTATAACCGATACAAGAGAAGGCGCTTTATGGTTAAGCTTGGTTTCAAAGAATTCATTTTATCAGGCGATCCTTTACACTCTTAATAGCCACTCCATTGCTGTCCCTTGCTAATGTCACTAATCGTCGTTCCCTGAGTTATAGTTGCTTTATGAAGAAAGCGGAATAGTTTCTTATTATCACCTAATCGAGCCGCCGTCTCCATTGCCAAGTCGCTCCAATAGTGATTTCTGTCCTACCGTGCTTTTGTCTTTATAATTCTTCGAAGCACACGGTAGTCAGGATCTCATGATATTCGGGCTTTGGCAGCTTTCTCAGACAACTGGTTGCTTCCGATGCCTTAACGTGGAAGGGGCTGACTTTCGGAGACATTCCTTTAGTTGGGACCAGTATTCATTTACCGTTTCAGAAAAATCACTGAGATTTATACCATTGAGATATTTAATAATTCGGTTTTAAATGCGTTCATTGCTCTCCAATTTTTTAATTCGAGATAGTTGAAGAACCCTTTTTTTTTAAAACTCCTCACCATTACTGATTAAACTCGCCCACTGGCTTGTCACATTGAATAATATGCGAGAGGGTCCCTTGGTGATAGAAATACAACTGAGCCGCCAGCATCAACCGGATTTTTGTATAGGTTTACTCCTGCGGGGAATCAAACCTCAGCATCGGCTCTCCCAATCGAGCAACAACTCATTGAGTCATAGTTGAAGGATCTTGGGGGATGCTGCTTTTCGCGAATCGTCAATTTTATGCAAATTTATTATCTATTATCAGATTATGCAGATCTATTACTACAGCATATTCAGATTGAAGATTGCCGGTTTCGGCGTCAACAACTATCTAGTACGGAACTCTTCCAACAGCGACTGACCAAGATATAATCAATCTGCTTAAAGTGATTATCCAGGAAGTTTCACGTGAAATGTTTTATACGATGCCGGAAGCAAGTATTATCAACAAAATATTATCCTCTTCGACATAACGAGGAAGGTAGATATTGGTGCACCGATCTCCAATGTCATATTTACCAATTGTAGAGGTCATTGCAGCGGTATGACCTACGCGCGCATTCCATTTTTCCCCAATTATGACCATGCCATGTTTCGGTAGGGTTTATTAGCAGGTTGAGTTCCGCATAGAACTTATCTTTATCACAGTCATCTGCCGACAGAGTTGGGGCATAGATAATGACTGAGGTATTGCAGAAATTACTTTAAAATGGGCATAGGCCATACGATCGCTTATCGGTTTCCATTCAATCAAAACGAAATGGGCCTTGTTAGATATGACAATCGCTATGCTATTTCACTCCGAAGCACCAAAGTGATATAGCCAGTACCTCTGCTTAGTGAGCACATTTTATTTATCAGCTTTAGGATCGCTTTATACCCCCGCATGTACCACCGGATTGGGAGTAACATGCGCGTCGGAAGACCCGGACGCCTTATCAAGAATACCTGACCCTTTCACAATAGAATCACTTGGGGATAGAGTTACAGTCCCTACCCGGATTTTTGACATGACAGGTTTACTCCTGTCAAAGACAGACATAATGTTATATTATTTTATAAACTATATGTACATATATATATATATATATTTTATTTCCATTCTTTGTTTTTAAAGTTGTAAAAAAATTAGTTCGTTGTTTATAGAAATTCTAAAGATATTCCGAAATATTCCGAAAAAAAATAAGGAAATACAGAAAAACGGAATAGGAAATGCAACCACTCAATATTCGAATAACTTAGAAATTTTTGTCTAATTATTTCATGATTGATTCAAGACAATGATAAGTGGCAATACCTCAGATATTATTGCTTTCTTTGAATAAGCAAGTTGCTCATCATCTAATAAGTTGACAAAATTTGGATTTAATGCTGTAGCTTGTATAAACGAACCATCGAAATTTTCAGAATTAATATCAAGCATAAAAGCTGTCCTCGTTCGTAAATCACATCGCAATTGTTCAGTTAAATCATTTAGTAAAGGGAAATCCTAAAAATAATATAGTAAAATAATAAATAATAATAATGAAAATAAAATAATTAATATAGAGAATATATATAATATATATATATATATGTATGAATTTAAAAAATTGTAATCTGTACAAAAATAGTACGCAGAAAATATTAAATATTAAAAATGAATATAGAGAACCTTTTTAAGTGAAAACTGAAGTTGCATTAAAGATGGGAAAACTCCGTCAATAGTTGCATGGTTATCACCTTGTATAACATTCATATGTGTACGAAAAAGTCGGAGAAGACGTGATACTCCTTCAAGCATTTGCCTATAATTTCATTTATTTATTAATTATCAGCCAATAAAAAATAAAAGTCTAAGCCTATAAAAATGATCTGCATTGTTACCATAAAAATAATGATAATTTAACACTAAAATATATCAGAAGCTTGAATAAAAAATATGTAAAAAACAAAAAACAAGACCATTGCTCATTCGAGATCAAAAATGGATTTTCTGAAGAGATATGAGCACAGACAGCCAAAAATGCATCTTTAACTTCAAGAATTGTTTCGACTAATACAAGAAATGATTCAGTAACTGGAAGTCGTACTTTATGCCCTAAAATCTATTAATCATTTAAAAAAATAAGGGTAGAATGGTTCAGTTATCATTTTGGACTTCAGATTCGGTCCCTACTCTAAGCGGCAGGAAGCCTTCCAAAAAGTCCGGATGATGCTGGCGACTTACTCATAGTTCTATTACCAAATGACTCCTTGGCAAAATTTGTCTGATATGTTTGCGGAGGCAATTCTAAAGAGAAATAGCAAGCGCTTTTCAAAAATCAAAAATCAATATTTAAAAATATTAGATTATTAATAAATAAAATCTTGATATCAAGTATAACTTACCAACAGATCGTTGAAGAAGTTCGACAGCTCCTGGATAAGTGATAAAATTAAGAAACATACTATAAAAACTCTTTTTAAGATCATCAATCGCCGCATTCGTATCAATTATGCTTACTAGTGATTGAGCTAACTTTCGATTATATGGTTCGAGCTAAAATGCAAATTTATTTTTTAAAATAACTTTTAGAAAACAAGAAAAATAGAATACAAGGAAATGAATCCGAAAACTTCCAAAAAACAAAATTAAATAGCTAAAATTTTCAAAAGATTTATATTATTATAAAATTTAAAAATTACTGAATTTGGAAATATTTCTGCAGGACCAAACTCATCACCGATTAATTCGTTAATTCCGTTCATTAAATAACGTGATACTTTTTCTGAGCCAATATCAAAATCTGATAATAACTGTAATAGTGTTTCTTAGGTCAATTTGCTTAATCGAAAAAATATGTTCGAATAATCTCTTAAATGAGTGGTTTTCAAACTTTTTGCTTCAATGACTCCTTTAATTTTATAAAAAAATTTTGAAAATCTCTCTAAACTTCTAAAAATTCTTGCCTCCATAAGAGCTTAAACGTAAAAATTTTCGATAATAATCATTATAGTACCACGAATTTGGTCGCGACGACAACCTAAAAGAGTCCTGAGGATTTCTAGATTCCTAGAATCCTACTACCTTGCATCTTTCGATACAGCTTTTATCATATCCGATAAAAAAAACTACAAATAAATTCAAGAAATAATACAATATTACCTGTTCAACGGTTATTCTAACAGATTTTAATAATGTTTCGCAAGATAAAAGTGGACGAACACCAAGTAAACCAACATCAAGCAACTGAGTGAGGGGATTGAAATATGCAGCTGATACACAAAGCCGAATTATCTGATCATCATTTCGAACCGCTAAACGAGAACTACATGTGCCAAAAGATATTTCAGAATCCTGACTGTAATGATTATCAATATCTCCTTCATCCTGGAAAAAAATGATCAAAATCAGCTGAAATATTAATTCAGATTATTGTCAATAAATAGTTGTTACTTGGTTGTCAGCTGATGCTAATGAAGTTGACGGTGAAGGTAATTTGAGTACATCAATCATTATGGTTATTCGTTTCGCTATTGATAATTGATTTTTTAGGTTTATCAGTGTGCGCGAATATTGTGTATTAATTAACTGGAAAAAAAGAATTTTCAGAAATTTCTTGAAAAATCCTCAAACAGTTTTAAAATAAATTTTTAGAAGTTTTAAAAACCTAAAGATTTATTTTAATGTTTAAAATATTCAAAAATATGAAAAACAATTTACTAGTTTTTCATATTTTCTCCTATTTTTCTTTCTGGAACTTTGAATGATTTTCAAACCTCTTCTATATAATTAACATCGGTTGGCACACAAAATTTTGGTTGTATAAATTCAAGGAATTCGCGAAAAAAAGTATTTTCGATAAGAGCCGTTGGAAGATGAGTTGCTGAGAGCATTAATGCAAGTTTTGTTTCGATTTCTTTTTGTCGACGATCTTCTCGCCCCCATTTTCGACAGTTTGTATTATTTTTTGTCGACAATAAACTTGCCGTCAATAAATTTGGCACTAAATCGTTTAGTTGAAATTCTATGAAAAATAATCTTTTTTATCAGCTTTATCAGCTATACAGACTTTCTAACTTTTTCTTGAATAATGCAATATTTGATATGGTATTTAAGAAAAAAATAATTTTTATAAAATATCAACTAAAATTTAAATTTTAATATGCTCATTTTATTTTTTTTTAATTATCTCAATTCAATTCATAACTTTAGTTGTGAATTCTTTTCAGAATTTATTTTTGTTTATTTATTTTGAATTTACTTTGTGGATATAAATAAAGAAAAATCAGTTGATCAAATGAGAAGGAAATAAAATAATCTCGATATTAAAAACTTACATTTTTATTGATTTTTTTTAAAAGTTTAACCATTACTGGTTAAACTCGCTCCACTGGCTTGTCGCATTGGACAAATGTGCCAGAGAATTCCTTGGCGATAGAAATACAGGTGAGTCGCCATCACCATCATCACCCGGATTTTACATGTTTACTCCTGCGATCCCCCGCAGGAATAAAGCTGTACAAAAATAATTGGTTTAATTACCCAAGTTTGAGGTAATTATTAATTCTGGCCCTTAACTACATTGTTATTGATCATTAATTAACAATAGTATTAATAATAATAATCGAAAAAGTAACCGTTTTTCAAGAAAGGATTAATTCCAATTTTTTCAGCATTTCCAATGTCATTTGCAAATAATGCATTGAATGGGCTTTGTGATAAGTGTGCATTAGCACTGATAAGTGCAGCAGCATTTGCACGTGCGTTTAATAAATTGAATATATTACTACAATTAAATACTTATATTTTATTAATTTACCTTTTAGTTAGTATCAGCGGGTCAAGATACCGATGAAGTCTTATTTATCTAAAAGGAAAATAATTGACTCCATGCTAAATGCTAACCACAAGCATATGCGCTGTTTGCAGATATTTGCATATGCGTTGGGTCTGCAGACCTCTAAACATGAGAATCGATGAACGCCTGAGGGGAAGGACAAGAATCGAACTTATGATGGCTTGAGCATGGTCGATGCAACTGTTTTCTATTGTTGATTACATAATAAACTTCGTTAATCATAATATGATGAATAAATGAATTAACCTGGCATTATTGTTTGATGATTTCGTTCGAGAATTTTTACAAAGATTAATAACAGCAGATGTATTTGATGCTGACGATGATGTTGATGATGATGTGTCATTTAATTTATTATTTTTGACAGCATAATTTGATAGTTTTGTGCGATTTGTACTATTAATATTATTTGAGCCTTGTGCCTGTGAATCTGGTGAATTTGGTAGTTGTCCACCATTGCGATCACGTGTATATTCTAACTGAAATAATTATCCTGAAGGATTATATTTAATGCTTAAATTCTTGAAAAAACTGTAGTTTGATTATATGATTATAATATAAATCAATGAATTACTAATTAAAAACCTTGAGTTTTTGAAATTCAGCATATTCAATGGGATGCTTCTTTAAATGACAAGCTAATGTACTTGTATGCGGTCCTTTTAGCATATATGTGCAATCACCAACTATACACCTATAATTCACACTAACTGATTTATTTTTTTCAAAAAATAAAAATCGAACTGATGATGCTTGATCTCAATCGAAATAATATTCTATTTTATTCAAACTGTCTTCGCCTGTTAAATGAAGAAAAAAGGAACAGGATGAAATGATAGCCAAGGAAATAAAATGTAAAAAATGCTTTCAAGTTTATTGTACTTAAATTTACCTGCTTAAATTTTCAAGTTTATTGTAAACGAAATATTTCCAAACTGGGGTTTGTTTATTCGTGCCACCACTTCGAATTGCAGCAGCAGGATTGCGATGCCATGACCAGTCATCCTCACCAAATAAAGCAGCAGCTGGAGAAGCAGCTGCGGCAAGTGCTCCAGGTATTATAGCTCCATTCGCTGTTTTTTTTGGTTTATTACTTTCTTTATTTGTGATGAATTGTGCGAAACAAACATTTCACCAATAAAAACCATTTAGAAAACTTAGAGAACTCAAATAAAGTAAATTGATTCTTCTTACAAAAATCGCTTGAAAATTTATTCTGTCATTATTGTTTTATTATATAAAGATACGATAATGTAAAGATATTTGTGCTCAAAAAAAGAAATTGTTTTTGGTAAATTTTGGCTTTCATAAAATGATAAAGCGGACTAAAAGGGCAAAAAAATTTTAGAAATATGAAAATGTGATTAAAAATAGAGAAAATAATCGTAAATATAAAAAATAGGAAATAAGATAAGTTTTATTTGTTTGTATTAAAAAATATTAACAAATATTAAAAAATTAATTATTGCCGACTTTCAAACCAAATACCCTTTACGTGATTACATTTACATTGATAAATATGTAAATATATTATCGCAAACAATTATTAAAGAAAGATGGCTGGTGGAAGTAATCTTATGTTTAAATGAATTTGAAATGATGTAATTCAAAAAAAAGAATGACATAAACTATTTATTTATTGAAAAAATCCGATAAGTACCAGTTGGAGTTGTAGCTTTTGATCCACGACTATTTTTTACATTTGCCGTTTGTGATTGTTGCTGCTGTTGTTGCATAAAAACCAGATTCGACTGGAAAATATAAAAATACAAACCAAAAAAATTGTGCAACAATTTGAAACATATAAAAATATCTTAAAATAAATGAAAACATAACAAAAATAAAAACGATCAAATCATAAGAATATTTTAAAAGCAAATATGCAGAAATATGTGTAGGGAGTTGATTTTCATCATTTTCACATTTTTTTTTAAAGCGCTGGTTAGATTTCGCTGGAGCAGATAAATTTTTTTAAAGGAATTACTTGGTGATGGAACCACCTGGATCCCCTGGTGGTAAGTTTATTATTGTTGGAGACAGCATCCGAATCTTGATAATAATCTGAGTAACACTCGTCCGCCAACAATAAAAACATTGAATTCATTTGTTCTCGTTCAGAAGCCTTGTTTTCTAATTTTTACCTAATTTACCTAATTTTTTTATTTATTGATATAAATTAATTACAACTCAATTATACCGAGTTTTTCTGCGTTCAATAAAGATTCCTATTGAATTTTTATCAAAATTTACAAATATTCCATTTCTTTTACAGTTATCTTTATCTTTACTAAATTAGTTCCGAAGCTCTTCTTTAACATCCATACAGTATGTAAATCATCAATTTGTGACTGAGCACTTATTTGGAACACATTTTTATTATATCGCAAAACTGAATGTGCATGAAGTAATGAATATATTCGGTTTGCAAAAAATCTTCAGCAAAACCCCATAGAGTGAGTAGGTTTGGAATTCGAGTGATTTCGAGATAACCAAAAAAGGGCGAACTCGGACAATACGAATTCGTCGATAACTAATATTCAATCCACTCTCTATTTAAGTTGTTTTATATGAAAATTTATATATTCATTAGAATCATTAAATTTAGGTCGAACGCCATTCACAAAAATTTCATTAATGAAGTGAGTGATTTTATTAGATAAACAAACTTGTTTTGTTCTCTTATATTCTGCGTATTTCCAAATCAAATAAGTTTTTTTTAATGAAATAAGTTTTAATGAAATATTTTTTCAAAATCATCATGTGAAATTCAAATATTAATATATTCTCAATTTTTATTTAAATATTTTATTAAAACATTTATATATATATATAAGTTTAATATTTACTACTTATAATAATAAAGAATATTTAAAAACATATTTTCTTTTATAAATTATATTAAGAAAGATTTTTTAAATGTTTTGACCGTTAAAAATACGAAATTAAATGAAATTTAAATCAATTTATTCAAAATAATCAAAATAATACAAAAAGTTAACCTTAAATAAAGCATTTGCTTGAAACATCATTGCTGTTGATAAAACGTCAACAAAATTTTGACTATTATCGGCGACAATACGGTCTTCAACATCATTCGTATTCGTTTCGTCTTTGATATCCTTGGTTGATACTACAATTGGACTAGACGAACATGTTGATGAAGGTGCAGCAGGTGACTGCCCACCATTTGCTGCATCACCTACTGGACTTCCATTACAATAACCAAAATCAGGTCGTTGAACTACGACCTAAAACTTATTTTCTTTCCTTTCTTTACAGTTAATTAGTAATTTTATAGAAAATAGAAAATTTTGAATTTTATTCTACCTGTGTCGGAATTGTTAACCGGAATTTCTTCGGTTCAGGAGCTTCAGAAACTGCAGCTGTTAGGCTCATTTCTTTCGAGCCTTACTTAAATTTCTTTCTTTCTACCTTCTTTTAATTCATATACGCGTATTAAATAAATTTCAGCACTGAAAATAATTTTCTTTTTTATAAATAGCATGATAAAATTTTTTTGATTAAAAAATGCAAATGTTCAAATTTAAATGCAAAACTAATGTAAAAGAAATAAGATGATTAAGGCGATGAATATGAATCTGAATATATTCGACGATTTTTGCATTTCTTCTGGCGTTTTATTTAATTTTTCATAAAACAATGAATTATTAAAGTTATACTAATATTCTTTGAAAAATTTGTTTTAATAAACACAAGAATTTCTATCACAAGGATTTTAAAAAAAATATTAAATAATATGCTCAACGATATGCAAATTAAAATATCAAAATTTCTGTAAAAAACGAAAAAAATTTATTATAACCAGGGAAAAATTGGTTTTAAACGCATTATTTGGGCATTAAACTTGTAATTAACAATTTAATTTAACAATAATTAGTATTAAAAACTAAGAAATTAATAAATAAAATTTAATTTTTAGAATTTAATAAAATCACTCATCTACTCATCTAAAATTTGAAAACTAAAAAACATCAGATTTGTAAATAAATCACAAGAAAATAAATTTTATTAATAATAGTGCAAATATTAATAATTAATATGAAAAACACGAGTAAAAGTCATTCAATTTGAAAATGATAATATTTAATAATAGTAATAACAATGATAATGATAATAACAATAATAAAATAACAATAATAATAAAATAATATGAATAATAATAATAAAAGCAAAGCAACAAAAAGATGTAATTAAAAATCTTATTAAAAAAGAAAAAAAGGATGTTATGTCAAATTATGTCAAATTGAATTATATTTAAAAAATATACTTTACATGTAAAGTGACGAATTTTCTCGAAAGAAGAAAAAATTTAAAAATTTAGAGAGATAAGCAAATAAAACATTATAAAGAGATATTTAATTATCATAAATGCACATGTAACGCAAAGATTTAAATTTAAAATCAAAAAAATGAATCTATGCTATCGAAAATATCTGAGTGAGCGAACAGTGCGAGCAGTGACCCACCTGAAGTTCCATTCTTAATTCTTTGGAATTTTACACAAAAAATAACAAAAATAGTGACTAGTAATTATAGTAATAATTAAGTGAAGTAAGAAAATGATTAGCGCTGATAATTTTCATTTTTGGGCCAACGTCGCTGGCTTTTAACAAAATTTGATTTTTGCAAGGGAGACAGTTCAACATCGTTAGATCGCTACTATCGCTCGGATGATTTGATTATTTTTTCAAGTAAAAATTCGATTTTAAAAGGTAAAATTTAAGAATTAAATGCATTTAACAACACCTAAAAATCTTAACAAACAACAAAATAAAATAGCTTAATTGCATAAGCAAAAAAATTAGCCTTTAGGCATAGATTAAATAAAATCAATTCAATTAATCAATTTGTTGTATCACTTTTTTATTTCAGAAAATCAAAGCACCAGTAAAATCGAATTAATCATATATTTAAAAAATAATTCCGATAATAAGTTCAAATTCACGATAGAAAAAAATTTTTTAAGTTCACGATGGAAGAGTGAGGATTTTTCTTTGGCAAACATTCTAACGCAAAATAGCCGAGTAGTTCTTGCTCAGATTATCGTCTCAAATGAATTCAGACTCTAGCTTAACGAAAAGTAAGTCTGTCATTACTCCGATGACCCAGTTGCACTTTTACCGCCATGTGATCTCTTGGCAAAAATTCCTCATCGTACTAACAAAGCATTAGATAGCAATTTATAATTAATAATTAGAAATGCTGAGCATTTATTAGTTACCCAATTTGACACGATTTAATGACGAAAATTGTTAGTAAAAATACAATATTAGAGTTATAATATAAGAGATCCACGATAGAAAAATAAAAAATATAAAAAATCTAAAGCAAAATTTAACATCAAAAAAATTAACTCTCTTCAATTATCTTTAAATATATTTATTGAGAGGAGTAAACTTAAAAGCAGAAATCCAGATAGTGCCGATAATTCCCACATTTCCAACAGTTCCAATGCCCATTGATATGAGTGAACTTGGCATCAAAATTTTCAAAACTATATTTTTTTTAAATCCTTAAATTTAAATGCGCAGAATTGGAGTAAGCTAGTCTATAAATTTAAATAGGACGGTCTATAGTTGCGATAAGTCTGAGGTTTAAAGTTTATAGTAGAAAAAAATTTATCCATAATTAATTAAAACGAAATGATCTATATAGTTATAGTCCATTATAGTCTATAGTTGTAAGATGGTAGTCGGTTTAAAATTATAATAAACTAGAAAAAAATTAGAAAAAAAATAATGAGAAAATTTAAAAAATCAATTCTTATTCATCCAAGAATTATTCCTGCCAATTCAATGAAATATTTTCAATTATTCTAAAAAATGTATTTTTTTTAAAAATAGCAAAAAATTTTTATGAATACCTCTTTCCCTTATTTCTCCTTTTCCCCTCTCTTCCTTTATTCCTCTTCTCATCCTTTCTCATTCTCTCTTTTTTTCTTCCTTCGATAATCAAAATACCTAATAAATGAAAAAGAGAAGTAATTCATTCAAAGAATAAAATTTTTCGACACACAAAAGATTTTCTTAAATCCGTTATTTTCCTTTGTTTGACAATAAATAAAAATTTTTTTTTGCAGTCGAAAATATTTTGATATTATCAAAGACATATTTTTATCGTATTATTACTGGTTTTCATAAAATTTTTCAACCGGAATTTTTTTTATTATTTATTTATTTACTAATGTTAGTACTATTTGTTTACTTATCTATTATCATTGTTATTAATACTATAATTATATTATAATTACAATTATCTTTATTGTTAACACTTTATTAATAATATTATTAATACCTTTATTACTATTTTATTAACATTGCTATTATTAATCATTTCTTCACATTTCTTTGCTAATTTTGACATGCAAAACTTTATCTGAAATGAAGCAACAATATTCAAAAATTTCCTGAAATTTAAGTTGTTTTTTAAAAATAAATTTGAAAATCAAGTTTGAAATAAAAAGTTTTAAATAAATATCCTTTCTTAAATTGGAAGTAAAAATTCTAAAAATTATAAGATTTATATTTGTTAAAAAATTTTTCAGTAAATTTTTAAAATAAACTGGGGAATAAATGAAAATAAAAGTGGAATAAATCGTGCATAAGCAGTTATTTCTCGCTGATATTAAAGCATAAAAAAATTTTCATCTTTTTTCCTCTAAAAGTGTGATTTTAATAAAACGATTCAAAATCTAGTCTTGAAAAAAAAGAAAATGAATTAAAAATCCAATGATCTGAATGGTGATGCCCTTATAAGTTTCCTAATTTTTCTAATAAATTGATAAATGATAGGTTATCAGTGCGTTGTTGCTCAATTGCCAGAATTAATACTGAGGGTCGATTCTCCGCAGGAGTAAACCTGTACAAAAATCCGTGTGATGCTAGGTAGGCACAACAAAGAGGTTTCTTGGATGTAAATGTCCGGATTAGGCCTTCGACAAAAGTAAGCCTATCATTAAGAACGGACGATGCGTGGGGATTTCTGGCAAAAATTGTTCATCGTTCTAGCAGTTAGTAAAGCCTAGGCAGAAATAGGCTAACCACTAAATAACCACTAAAGACAAAAAGTCAGCAAGTTTTTCTAGAATAAATTTAAAAAACAAAATTAAAACAACAATTTATATCTATATTTAAAAAATATATTTTATTTGGTGGAAAAATTATGATGAATAAAAACGATAAATTTTAAAAAAATGATTTAATAATAGTTATGAATAAGGATATATTTATATCAAAATTTTATAATAAAAATTGCGAAATTTCTGAAGTTTAAACTAACAATAGGAAAAATTTTAATTTTTGAAGAGTAGAACGAGTGGTACTGTGAACCATTTATATTTGCATTTCCACGTGACTTGCTGGCGAAATGGTCACAACCTAATAACCAGTATAGCAAGTTAAACGAAAAATTGTGCAAGCTGCTTAAAGAAATTCTAAAGATGAATAAATAAAGTTAGCTGTTTTTGGCCTGCCATTTTGGGTCGGTCCACTCGTTGTTAGATAATTTTGCCACAAAATCATTTAAGAAGTAAATTTGGGTCTTTAGCACTATCTGGATTTTTTGAAATAAATTCGCTCAAATAAAGGGCAATGATATTTGAAATTATAGTCTATACACTAATTTATACCAATTCATTAAAAAAACTGCTTTCATTATTACCAATTCATTAAGCTTTAAATACTTCAGATCCATACCCAATGGTCAGATAAAAGAAATGCAGTTCGCACAGAGGTGCTTTCTTTCATCTGGCGAAATCTCTCCCAAATCACCTCAAGAAATTAGCCTCAAGACAAAGGTCCGGAGCACGAACAATCCTATTATACAACTTTGAAACCTGCCCAGTGAGAATGAAAGGTATAAGGAAATATATTGCCTGATTCCTGTCTATCTGTCTAAGATACATCCTATCATAATAGTCAAGTGGATAGAATTTAACACAACTGTATCGCTCAAAGACCACCTGCATTAAGAATCACTACAAAGAGTCGTCTGCACTGATTTGGCCATGTTCTCCTCGTTGCGCTCCAGAGGAATTGACGAATATCTCGCTACTCATTAAAAATGTTGGCGTCAAAAAAGAAGAGGACCAGCAAGATCTGGACCCATACGAAGAACATGATCTATGAGCAATATGGGGAGTGGAAAAAGAATTGTGGCCTCAGTAACTTTCAAAGACAAATAACAAGGTTTTCCTAGCCAAATCTCTTCCTCTTACACATTAATCATTTCTAATAAATTATCGATCAATGCAAAAAAGGTTCTTTATATTTCTATTTAATGCGAATAAGTGGCCTAGGATAAGGCGCATTTCTGACTCGCTCAGCTGCCTCGTCGATTCAGATTAATTCTATGGAGCCATTTGACGACGATAGGGC